CCAGATGGTGGGACTAACCTTATTGGATGTTTAACAGCCATACCTTGAGGCCTATACTAATGTGGTCAGAGAGAATTAAAGGAAAGTTTTTGCCCCTTGCCCTCCAAGGTCGACTAAGATCCAGGTGACTATGGAATATCTCTCAAAATGTCCTGTAACTGTGGTGAGTCACCTGTCCTCTTGTTCAGGGAAGACATAGAGACCCCATAAGATGGACTTGAAGCAGTGTCCAGTCTACAAAGAAGAGGGTCAACTCAGAGGAAACGTCTAATTCATGCTTTCAAGTGAAGCCAGACATGGTCAAGTAAGACCTTTGACTTATATCACATAGACGGAATTGGTAAAAGAGCCAGAAGCTCCTCCCAAGCCTGTGTGACCCCCGAGGAACAGATCATCAAATGACTTTAAGTGTATAAATAAATTGATTTATTTTGGCCAACTATACGGCCTTGAACACCCAAAAGGAAAGTATAACCATAGAGTAAAGTCATCAGTATATTTCTTTTAAGAATTCAAGGGATTATACTTCCCAGACCTTAGGCTTAAGCCTATATAAAAGGTTATTTAGAGAATTATTTCTCATTGATGATTTTGTTCCTAACCAGAAAGTGCTGCTCAGATATAAGACTTCAAATCTTGATCTCTAATACTGTAGTTCCCACCTGTAGCTAAGGGAGACAACCAGCAAGTGTTCTAAAATGATGGATAAATTTGTTTTCTCCCAGTATCTAGAAGCCTTTGAGAGGGAATTCACACTGATTCTAACCACTCCAACAGCTATCAAAATATCTGAAAGCAAGTCTTGAATCATCACTCTAGAGTCCAGTCTTGGAAGACAGAAGAAAAATGAGGCAGAAACCAATAGAGGGATGCTTTCAGAAGCCCTTGTCAAGAAATTCCAATGGACTCTCGTATGAACAATTGAAAATTGCCCTGTTCTGACATTTTTCTAGATCCCTGTCTAGAACTTGTAATGCTAATTACTCTTGCCTTTACTTCTTCATATCTCCTA